TGCCAGTTGTTGTGCTTTTAGCGTCAGGGGTAGATTTTCGATGTTTACTACGGATACGCTCAGTAAGTTGAGTAAATAGGTTACTAGGGAGGATATCTGTGTGGCTCTCTTTGATATGAAATTCCTCAAAGCCCTTAGAGCAGATGACTTACAATCGACCTTTTATCAACACCACTAGCATGTGGTTAGAGATTTGGTTTGTGACATGGTGATGAAAGTCTTTTGAGGGGAAGAGATGGAGGAAGGGCTTAATAGAACCTTAATCACTCTGATTCCCAAGGTGGCGAGACCCATGATGATCAAAGATTTCCAGCCGATCAGCCTTTTCAATGTCTCCTATAAAATTATGACAAAAGTCATTGCTAATAATCTTAAGGATCTTATGCCTAATTCGATCAGTGATACTCAAGCAAGTTTTGTTGAGGGTCACAATATTGCAGATAATATCAATATTGCTCAGGAAATTATTCATTTGATGAGGCACAAGAAAGGTAAAGTTGGTTGGATGGCTATCAAAGTTGATCTGGAGAAAGCCTATGATAGACTCAGTTAGAATTTCATTGATGATACCCTCCGGGACGCTGGATTCCCCTAGTGGCTCATTCGGGTTATCATGCACTATATTGGTTCTAGCACCAAGTAACTCTTGTGGAACAAGATACCTACTGAGGAGTTTGTGCCTTCGAGATGTATTCGTTAAAGTAACCTGCTATCGCCTTATATCTTTGTGTTTTGTATGAAGCGTATGTCTCAGTATATAGATCAGTTAGTCGGTAGTGAGGCTTGGCGTCTTATCTTGCTAAGCAAGAGAGGCCCTAAGTTGTCCCACTTATTCTTCGTGGATGACTTGATCCTCTTTAGTGAGGCTTTGGATAGTCAAGTATAGCTTATCAAGTCCGCTCTGGTGGACTTCTGCAAGAGCTCGAGGCATAAAATCTACATGTCCAATACCCGCATTTTTTTCCCACAACGTCCCAGAGAGTGACGTTAACCGTATCAACTCTACCTTTGGCTTCTAGGGTACCAAGAATCTTGGCACGTACCTTGGTGTTCCTCTACTTCGTGGTAGGATTATCAAGGACACCTACCAGTACATCTTGGAAAACGTGTGGGAAAAGCTTTTGGGTTGGAGGGCCAAGAGTCTATCCATGGTCGGATGCCTAACAATTGCTAAGTTGGTCCTTTTAGTTATTCCAACCTATGTGATGTAGACAACTGTCATCCCTAGTTCACTTTGTGATCAGATTGATCGAATGGTGCGTGATTTTATATGGGATTCGGGTAGTGGTGATAAGAAACTAAGTCTGGTTAAGTGGAACGATACATGTCAACCTACCACTCATGAGGGAAAGAGTGTTTTGAGCTTGAGAAATCTTAATAAAGCCTTCCTCATGAAAGTGGGTTTTAACATAATTACGAAACTACATCTCTTGTGGGTTAAGATCCTTCGCCACAAATATAAATGGGATCTCCATTATAATGCCAGTAATACTATAGCCTCATGCTCTCATTTGTAGAGGAAATTGACTGGTATATGGGAGCATATTCTGGCGAGTTTGACTTGGCACGTTGGTGATGGCAAAAGCGTGACATTTTGGGAGGACAACTAGCTGGGGGGTGTGGACCCTTAAGCTACTTGGTTTCTAACATATTGATGACATAACAGGATCGCGAAGGGTTAAGGAATTTGTGACTCTGAATGGGCAGTGGGATTGGGACCATCTACAGAGGATGCTTCCTAATAGAGTTCTCATACAGCTAGCCGCAGTCAGTGTCTTGAAGGGCGTGATGGAGGTGGATATCCCTTATTAAGGCCTCTCATTGGACTGTAAGTTCTCTATTAAATATGTTTATAATATTATTTCTTATATTTTCTCTCTTTTTACAAATAGCAGGTGGAGCTTAGCTTGGAAGTGGCTTGGTGCCCAACGAGTTTGTCATTTCTTTTGGCTCATCTTGCAGAACGAATTGTTTATCAGTGCAAAACAGGTTCGCAGACATATGACAGATGATCTGAGTTGTACTGTCTATGGTCTTGAAATCAAAGATCTGAACCATGTTCTGATGGAGTGTCACTAGGCAAGGAACCTTTGACATAAGATTGTACCTCATATGGCTGTTCAAAGCTTCTTTAGCACTCCTTTCGATAACTGGGTTTGTGCAAACCTACAGAACAAGTATGATTGATGTTCGTCCTTCCAAGACTGGAGGGTTGTATTTAGTATTGCATGTTGTTTGCTTTGGAAACAATGAAATGCCTTTGTCTTTGGTGGAAACCCTCTTAGTGTGGAGGAGTTGAATCATGATGTGTCTAATTTGACCGAGTACACTTTTCAGACCTCTTGTATCTCGTTTGCCATCTCTAGCCACAGTGTTTAGAAACAGGAAGAACTCATCAACTAGACTCAGCTGCCCCATAATTAAATGAAGATCAACACAGACGGGACGCTCTGTGTTAGTAGCGACACTACTTGTGCAGGTGCGTTGGATAGGAATTACAACGGTCAGTGGCTTGGGGGGTACTTCAGGATTTGCTCTATTCTCTAGGTGGAACGTTAAGGGGCCCTGTATGGTCTTGGCTTAGCTTGGAATTTGGGTTCACGTCAGGTTATTCTTGACATGGATAATGCTCTTACTATACAGGTTTTTAATAAAGTGTTGAATAGGGAAGCGATTCCGGTTAATACGAACTCTAATCTTATTTTAGCTATCCAGGCTCGACTCATATAGGATTGGATTGTCCAAATACAACATGTTTATCGCGAAGGTAATCGGTGTGCGGACTACCTAGTTAATCTCGCATTCACTTGGCCTCCTGGCCTCTATTCCATACAACAGCTTCCTGTGGAGCTTATGAATCTTGTTAGGAAGGATATCATTAATGTCTCATGACCTAAAATATGTAAAATTTAGGCATTCCCTTTTAGGTCTTATTGTGCTTCTCTCTTGTATCCCAAAATAAAAATAAAAACTCACATTTTAAATGTGTGAAAGAAAGAGATAATGGGCATGATGTGGTCTATTATCTACATAGGTGATGATGGTGTTTTTTTGAATTTGAAGTTTTTTTTTTTTTTTCTAATTCAATTTGTATAAAGTTATTAATTTTTTTAGAGAAATATCTGCACGTTTCTAAATTTTTGAATACAAACACGTGAAAATTATGAAAATTACAAAAAATTATTTCAAATAATAGCCTTGAGATGAGAGAAAAAAAAACCCAATTTATTAAATTATCGTATTAAGTTAAATTACACTAAGTTGGAACGAATTCGTTTATGTGATCGGCATAATGATGTAGGCTGACATGGATGAACCATATGCATGCATGTGTTGTATGTATAGTGAATTTTTATTTATGTATACAATTGAAATAATGGTGAAGGGAAAAAAGAAAGTTGGATATGAGCCTAAGATTATTCTGCGGTCGTCCCTCTCCCTCACTCTTAGTGCGCGTTAGGCAGATGTCAATATGTAAGAAATGATTAATAAATCAATTTTAATTTAATTTTATCCTCATCTTTCCTTAATTAATTAAGAGGTTTATAATTGAGTAAAGATTTAAACTTTATATTATAATTTGAAATGCCATATCTTAATTATACTAATTTTGTTTCTGATTAAATAAATATAATACAATTATACGGATATTTAATTAGTTCGATAATATTTTCTAATGTACGAGAAGAAAAAAAAAGAAAAAACTGATTGTTTCTCTGAATAATTTTTTGAAAAAAAAAAAGCTGAAGAATCCATTTTCTCTAAACAATTGGATCCAGATAGGTTGATACTGATAAGAGAAAGCAATGCAATTGTAGTGGAACACTAAATTATAAATCACAAAGCGACGTGACAAACCTTGCTTGTATTATGTAATTAATAAAGTCAATATATATATACACACACACGCGACTAATATAACACCATAATGTTGCAGATGAATTTACAAGGACGACCTGACGGTACTAGGGGATTGGCCTTGCAAATCGACAAACACAAAAGAACGAATGTTATCGTGTAAGCAGGAGAAATTTAGAAAAAGTTACATACAGATGTGTTCATATATGTGTATATATGTATACATATATGCATCGATCAGATCGAGATGACATTCATGATAACGACAACATGCATGGATTTCAACTTAACAGGACCCCCTGTTATCCTTTTCTCATTTACGTCATTTATATTATTTTCCAATTCGTAAGGTTTCAGATTCTTTTAAAATGATGAAATAATAATTGGATTGCAAGGATTTACGTGTAACTTGGCCATTTCTGGATCCATGTTGATTGAAGTTTTGAGTGTCTTTTAGGGTTTAAGACTTACCTGCTACGATGGTATCATAAAGTTTATTATCCAAGAGAGAAATATGGATGTGGGATACGGATGAAATTAATTAATTATGAAAACGCTGCGTTTTATTTTAATCTATATCTATTGAGTTTTAACAGATTTTATTTTTTATTTAAAAAAAAAAAACCAAATATGTTATTATTATTATTATTATTATTATTATAAGTAAACCAAGCATTTTTTTTTTTTTTGGTTTTGAATAACAATTTAAGCATATTATTATTAATATAAATAAAAATGTCACACGGCATGAATGACCTAGTTAGGTGGCATCATGATCAACTATATTAACAGCATAATTGCCATTCGCAAACTCAACCACCTTCTTTTTTTTTTTTTTTTCAAAATACAATTACAATTGATATCCAATTTATACCCATCTTAATTAATTAATTAATTAATTTACTTTACCAACCTATTCACCGGTGTAATTATGTCACTTAACATTATATTAAGTTATAATTTCATCATCACCACTGCCACCCATATTAAATTATATTAAACTAGTTTTATTTCTGTACCATGCACAGTTTATAAATAGTAAAAATAAAAATATTAAATTAATATACGTACAATCGATCAAATTCAATTAATTATATTTTTTGCGTCTATAAATTTTACTTAAATATTAACTAAATAGAAAACAAATTATTTTTATGAATTAAGTTAATGATTGTATATTTGTTTAAACTAATATATTTATGTTAGTAATTTTTAAACATAAATTATACATATATAGTATTTTATACTTTAATATTTCGTAGAATGTAGGTAAAAAAAATTTATATGTTTTGTCTTGTAAAACATTTTAAAATTTCAAAATAAAATTTAACAATATATATTTTTTTTAATTTTATAACATCTAAATCTTAGTTATAATAATCTCTAAAATTCTGATAAAAATTCACATATAATTTTTAATTTAGGAGATAAGAATTAGGCTGGGAATAAGAGAATTTCGTGACATTAATCAATTATAAAAAAAGTATATATGATTATTTACATTTATGATTTCAAATATATGATTTCAGAATTAGAACATAAAAATTGTATTTACAATTATGATTGTTGATAATATTCAAGTATATGATTTTAAAATTAAAGAAATAAATAGATTTCATATATATATATATATATATAACTAACTAACTATTATTGTTCACGCATTAGGTTATTTTAATTAATACTCTTTTTAACTTAGATGACATTTCTATTTATTTATACAAGATCACATGTATTTAATTTTATAACCATCAATGTATGCATTGCATATAATATATTAATAAACAATAATTAAAATTTACTTGATATTATTATTTAGTGTACGACGGAAATATTTTTTCATTTATAACAATTAATGCATACCTTATATATGAACAATATTAATCAATTATAAAATTTTCAACAATTATAAATATGATGTAATATTATTTCATTAATTACGAAAAATAAATGCGTGGAAATTAATATAAATATTTTCCCCTTAAAGCGAAAGATGTTATTTCTAAAAAGAAAAAGGTGATGTCGTTCTTCTTATAAACAGAAACCCAAAAGGACGATAAAGAGAATGACGTGGTGATGACGTGGCGGCTACCCACGGGAGCGCAAGGCTATTACAAAGCCAGAGGATCAGAGCCAGCAGCCAGAGAGAGAACAGCTAACGAGGGCGTGAGGGAAGCACACGTGGCGCGCAGGGAGACACGAAGGTACCCGAGGATCGGGGGAAGAATCCGTTTGCTACCGACACGTGTCAGTCCATAACGTTGGCTACCCAAAAACGACGACGCTTCGTGCTTTCTTTGTGCACTGGCAATAGCCCGTGGCCTACTCAACGACTCCACTCCCACTCTCTAAAGAAACACAGTTGTAACGAGAAATTTACTATTTCCATATGCATAAAAAATCCACTGCTTGTCTTTCTGGTCATCGTTTTCTCTCATTGGCTGGGCTTGTATATATCATCAAGAGGTGCTCTCCAAGAAAATAGCAAGCAGCCAGCCATTTCGCTTTTCTGTGCTTTTCTCTGGTCGACTATCGTCTCTCTTCTCTCTCTTTTGTTTATATATCTGGTTCTCTCCCGTCTCTCTTATCGTACTTTTCTTGTGTGGAGACAGAGATGACAGGGGTACAAGACGGGGAGACAGAGAGTGTGTCTCTTGACTTTCTCAAGAACAAAATGGCGGATTTTGCTAAGGAAAGGGACTGGGAACAATTTCATAGCCCGAGAAATCTACTCCTGGCTCTGGTATGTTTATGTTAATTTATCGACTCATCCGATTATTTCAAAAGGTTTAATTTATAGCTTCATGTCTAATCTCTCCAGATTGGAAGCTTGAATCAAAGCACAAGTTCAGAAAATCTTATGGATTGGGAAGTTAGTACTTGGAATTTGATACCCGTCTGATTGAACTGTTTTTTCCAGAAAATTTAGGATTGGAGAAAGGTGTTAATCAATCCTTTATACAGTATATTCTAAAAGTTTCAAACTTTTCTTGCCTCCTTAAAGTTTGACTTTTAATCAACTTTGTCAAGCTCACTCTTTTTTCTTCACATATATTTTTGTTTTACATCATGTTATTAGCTCTTCTCACATGGTTTTTCTTCTTGATAAACCTTTTCCTAGCTGCTGGCTATGACCCTGAAAGCCGAAAACAGGGAAGATCATATATGGAAGCAAGCTTATTATCCTTGCTAGCTGCTTGTTTCATTGAAGAGCTATATTCTTTTTTCTTCATGGGTTTTATCTGAGAATATTTGACCAGACAAACAAGTTCATAGAGTTAAGCAACCGGTTGGGTTTTGCAGGAATTCATCTGGGTCTTTAATTTTTGGTATTTCTAAATGCAATAACTTGCTAAAAGAATCTGGAAGTGTGTCTTTTTTATGTACTCGTTTTTTTTTTTTTTCTTCTTTTTCTCCCGTTGCTTTCTTAAGTACTACGTTAGGTTTATAACTTTATTAGCCATGTCTGTATCACCTATAGTCAAAACTTGACTAACAGTCTCAGCAAAATAGACGCATCCTTTGTTTGGCATCAGAGAAAATCATCGAGCAACCTCTCTTCTTTCTTTCCTTTCGTTTTCCCATTTAATGCCATAGCAAATGTCCAGAGAGACGGATAGTGAAGCTCAAAATCCAGCAGGCCCACCAATTATGCATTGCAAAATATGTACTTCAACTCCATTGATCAAGGGTCTTTGCTCACTGTAATAATAAATTTGACAGGTGGGTGAAGTTGGGGAACTATCTGAGATATTCCAATGGAAAGGGGAGGTTCCAAAAGGACTACCAGACTGGAAAGAGGAAGAGAAAGTTCACTTGGGTGAAGAGCTTTCTGATGTTTTACTCTACCTTGTCAGACTGTCTGATATCTGTGGCATTGATTTGGGCAAAGCGGCTCTGCGCAAAGTTGAACTCAATGCCATTAAGTACCCTGTCAGCCGCTGCAAGAAACACAACACCATCAATAATGAAAGGGCTTGAACATTTGATTTTCAAATTAGTCTGTTAAAAACTTCATCTAATTACAAGCACCCATCATCAGTTTTTTTTTCTTTTTCTATTTTCTTATGCGTATTGAAACTCTGGTTATTGTTTAGTGGTAACTCAGGTTGGGGTGCTTGGTTTTTATGATGTAGGGTTTTGATGTAATATAGCACAGAGGTAATAGAGGAGGGGGGGGTAAGGGTTGGAATGCTCAGCGACTAGTATAGATTTGGTTGGCGGTTTTTGGCACTTGTTCTTTCAGATTTTCCTACTGTTTCAGCAGCTGAATGATGAAAGAAATCCCTCTGACAGATGTGAAACGTGGAGTAGAAATCTCTATGTTTTATATTTTACACGTATATATATATATATATATTATTTTTATATAATTTCAAGAAGAGCGAGCACATTTTGTTTCGTGCTCTTGGGTTTATATACCATTTACTAAACTCTCAGATTTTTCTATGACAAAACAGAATGTCTAGAAAAACAAAGAATCTCTAATTTGGGAGAAAAAAGACTACGAAACTTTTGCTAACTCACGAACCCTAAGAAAATAACAAGCACCAAAAAGAAGTTTCATACGGTACCCAAATGTCAGAAAGTACCGCACAAAAGATAAATCAAATATATCATAACCTTAAAGGAAAAAACCTTTCAAATTTGTTAGAAAATTTTGCACAAAGATTTATGTATTTTTGAATACAGTGAACATTGTTGGCCCAAACAAGTGACCCATGGGTTCAAAATAACCCACCTCTATTAAATAGCATAAATTGGTAGTGAAAGTCTAAAAGCTCCATATACCAAGCCCATGGGTTCAAAATGAGTAGAGATGAGAATTTTATTAGAAAATTAAAAAATAAAAAGAAAATTAATGAATTCAATTTCTTTAATTTTCTTCTAAATTTAATATTTTTCATTTTAAATATAATTTATATTTTTCTTACCCTAAATTAAATGTAAACTTATAAATTAATTCCACAATTTTGTTTGTTCCATTTCAGAACCAAATATGAAAGAATTAAAGCCAAGAAACTTGAAAAGAGTTACATCAAATAAAATCGCAAGAAAAACTAAAATGATAAAGATTCTTGGGTGTGACCTCCAAAACTCCTAATTAGTAAAACAATCCAATAAAATCATAAGAAGTTGGGTTACTTTTACTATAAATGTTGTGACAATCAAATTGTCAAATTACTAAATCATGAATTATGAATAAAGTAAATAAGGTAATTAGAGGGAAGAGACTTTAGAGTTAGTAAATAGTCACAACTTATTGAATTTTATGTAGAATTTAAATACAAGAATTAGATAGTAATCTTTTTAATATAAATTATTTTGGTTTGAATGTTAAACAACGTTAATATTATAGTCAATTAAAATGTTAGATTATATTCATAACTAGAATTAGACATTATATATGATGAAATGGTAAATGATTCACATAAATTTAATTTTTTTTTTTGGTATTCCTTTTGTTGGACCAAGGAAAAATACTCTTCAAGCTAAAATGTAATATCAAAATTCTAAAACAAAATTATCATTCTTATTATTTTATGTCGAAATTGAATGTTATAACCATTAGTGATTAGTATCATAATAAATATATTTATAATTTAAAAAAAAAAAAAAAAAAAAAAAGAGACTAACAACTCTAACTATAATAATAATAAACAACAATATTAAAATAAATAATTTAAAAATTTTTTAATACTAAGCAATCATATCACAAGAACAAAATTGAATGGTATATGGATTATAACATCTTACCAACTTGCTAATAAACTCTTTTTAAGGTAATAATAAAATATACAAAGGAGACTCATCTTTGAATCATGACTACCACAAGCACCTTCACTAAAAAAGAAGATAAAAAGAAAACATGCTTCTTTTTCTCCTAAAGGCATTCTACCATATCAGCCCTTAATTAACATCATGATGGTTATAATTGCTGCCATTATGACAATCATCATTCATTAATTAGCTCCTTCTTTTATCTTTTTATATATATATATATATATACACGCAATTCGTATACATACACAAACGCCCGTATATATATATCAACGAAGCTCATGATCAAAGACTAGCCAAAAACTCTAGAAAAGAAAAGAGAGATTCAGTCTTAGCAAACGATGAAGAGAAGTGGCATACCCATATCAATGTTTCAAAATTCAACGTTGTTGGCGGGATGGTGCCGTGGGCGGCGACGGCCGAGGAGACGGAGAGGCTGCATCATTCGGCTCGGGAACAAGCGGCGGGGGTTCTGCATGGGATCCCGCACGGTGGTCCAATGGGGTGCGGTGGTGGTTACTCCATTCAGAATCATAAAGAAGATGATAACGGAGCTTACTCCAAGTGCAGGCTTCATAGATGCTTATTACTCTTCTTTATTACTACCCTTATTACGCCCTCAACTATTCCCTTTGTGTTGATATATATATATATATATATGTATGTATATCTCCCTTGTGTTTACCCTTTTTTTAAAAAAAATAAAATAAAATTCTTCATTTTACTTTGTTTAATTGGGTGATTAATTTAAGTCCCTCTTAATTGAATTGTTTTATAATGATTTAATACCTGTTAAATATTAATGGATTAGTGATGGCGGTGGAATCTCCGTCTTTGCATCAGAGCAAATATTTTAGATATTTTCCTAATAATTGATTAATTAATTAATATCCTAATTAATTTTTATTTTATTTTAAAATAATTTCTATACTTCGACAAATCACTCTACTTTCAGATTAAATTTTTAAAATTAAATGGAAAAATTAAGTGTTGAGAAAATTAAAATTAATGATGATTGTTCCAAACATCCAGGTGAAAAGTTGATTTTAATGTCACTATTATGATGAGCTAAGCAAATAAACTTTTGTATTTAGCTTCTCAGCTTTATACAAAGAATTCTAAATTTACGTGTAATTTATAATTTTTTTAGAGTTAAAACATGAGTAATTTTCATGTTAAATTTTTATTTTACAGAATAAAAATTAAAAACGAGTAATAAATAAAATAAAAATTATAAAAATATAATACTTCAATTCCAAAATTAATTTTGTATTTAATTTTAAATTTATGTATTTTTGTAATGTCCCACCACCACGGCTTAACGGACATTAGTTAATAGATAACTATACCATTTTATTTTATTTTATCACAAAATTTATTTAATCATCAAAATTTTTTGTTTTATTGTGAGTCGGTAAGATATTAAAAATAGTTTTAAAAAAATTTAATTGAAGAAAACGGCTGATAATAATTCAAATAAATTATTGAAAATTTTCAATTATAAAAATCTGCTTTTTATTTCTTGTTTTAGGGCAATTTAATTTATTTTTTTTTTTTTGAAAAAAAAAAAAAACTAATAAGGGACGAACTTATCAAAAGGAAAATAAAAAAGGACAGGGATGAACTTATCCGATTAAGGCAAGGGTTTCATTGCTGCCTGCGCCTTCTCCATTTTGGTCTCCTCCATTTCTCACCTCCGTGGATATTCCAGGGAAAATTTTCTGGTTAAAGGGTTTCTCTCGCCTTTCGTGGGAAATAAAGGAAAGGCAAGGAGTAGAAGACGAAGATGGCGTTGATCACACAAATCCTCAATTTCCGCGCCCCAGTTCTTCTGCCTCCCCAACCCCGAAACCCTAGAATTCACTTGATTAACCGTAAATTCAATGGTATTCCGTCTCTTCCCAAGACACCCTACCTCAGTCTCTATCGCAAAAACCCTAGAATCATCCCCCTCGCGACCGCTTCCGCTTCCGCTTCCGCTTCCGCTTCGAAAACATTACCTTCACTATCCCAGAAAATCTCAAGTCTATCGCCGCTCGTCGACTCGACTCGGACGATTACGACCCTTGTAACGCTAGCATTCGCCGTGTTCGCCAAGCTTGCCCAAAATCTGTCTTTCTCAATTCTAAACCCTAATACGATTGGGTTATCGTTGCAAAGCAGCGTAGTCCAGACGGTTGGACCGGCGTTCTTCGCATCGCTGCGGGACAGGCCTAGCGGATATCTGAACACACCGTTGACGGTAGTGGCGGCGGGATTGTCGAAATGGCTGGATATATACAGTGGCGTTTTGATGGTGAGGGTTTTGCTGAGCTGGTTCCCCAACATCCCATGGGATCGGCAACCGCTATCGGCAATAAGGGACCTATGCGATCCCTACCTGAATTTGTTCAGGAACATAATTCCTCCTGTTTTTGATACGCTGGATGTTAGCCCGCTGCTGGCGTTTGCGGTTCTGGGCACCCTCGGATCGATCCTCAATAACAGCAGGGGAATGTATTGAGTTGATAAGGCAGCAATGGTAGCAAGTAAACAACACAAGGACTCTGTTAAGTTAGCTGCTATTTTCTTTTGGCTATTTCTAGTTATTTTGGTTGTCATACCGTAACTCATATCTGGCTGAGACATAAATTTTGGGAAGTGGGATGTTAGATGGTTTGAGTGATATATTCTTTGAGTTCATTAAGATTTTTTTTTTTTTTTTTTTGGTAATTCAAAGAGAAAATGGCATGAAAATTTGCCTGTTTCAGTTTTCCTTTCTGGACCAGCAGAAAAAGAATGGAATCTGTTTCTTATTAATATGTTTGTGTTAAACAAATTATATTTGCAATGTTGTTGGAAAAGGCTTGAGGTGGAATACTTTTAGTACGACACTTGATCCGACTACTAATACCAACAAACGAGTCACAGTGACATTATATAATACAGCTTCATACATGGTTCAATTCCCCCACAAAATCGTTAAATTTCACTGGCAAATCCAACGGGAACCCGACCCAAAAAAAAAAAAAGATCCTTGCCTACATCAGATACAGCTACGGTGAGCAGAGTGTATGTACAGATGCAGAACAACTATTTCTTCCCAAAGTAAGAAAGTAGAGTTGGTTGTTTATCATCAGTGCTCTTAAGTTTTCCCTTCTTCTTCACTGGCCATGGGCGTGATTCAACTTTATCTACAACTGACTTCTGATCGGCTAAAAGCTCTTCTCGGTCTCGTTTTTTTTCGACCTTTACCGCACCCTCATAAATAGAATCCCCTGGTTCTGGGTCATTATTTTCCATTTTTGTTAAGGATAAAATTTCTCTGTTGTCTTCAGTTTCAGGTTCCTCTTTCAAGTTTTCTGTGAGATCTTCAGTTTTAGGTTCCTCTTTCAAGTTTTCTGCGGGATCTTCAGTTTGAGGTTCCTCTTTCAAGTTTCCTGTTTGAAGCTCCTCTTTCAAGTTTTCCGTGAAATCTTCAGTTTCAGGTTCCTCTTTCAAGTTTTTTTGAAAACCAGTCTTGACAGACTCATCCAGTGGATTTTCCTCGTGTCTCTTTGATCCTTCTTTTCTACTTTCCTTGGTTGAGAAAAACTTCAAAATTTGATTCTTCTCCTCTTTCTTTAATGGTATCTGCATAACATCACAACTGTCAGAAAACCTACCACGAGAAAGAAGTTCAAGAATAGGTTCAATCATAATTGCTTTAGGGCATGATATTGATTTCATCACTTCTTTCCACCCGAAACTTCTCAAAATCAAATCTCAACTTCTCAACTGATTTTATAAATTCAAGGGTTGCTGTACTGGGAAATTTTAACCCTTTATCTCAAAAAAAAGGTTAGGATTTCCCATTACAGCATCTAATGGTCAATGATTATCAAAATAGTATCATGTTTGAGGTTTGAAGGCTCCACAAAATTTTGGAGAAGAATATGAAAGACGGTTGACAGCAGTTCAAGTCCTTTTCTACTCATACTAGCATTGGTGATTTAGTGGAAAAGACAATTCGTCAAAATTGCTAAACATGATAGCTAAGTTACTGCATAATACAGCCCTGTAACGAATATTTCCTTTCTGATTGCAAGAACCTGAGAGCAACAGAACAGTCTACAAAGCGAGCTAAAATAAGAAAGCATCTAACTATCCATGTCATTAAAGCGTGGTGACAGTTGAAAGGTTCAACTTATTTACTATCCACAACTTATTTAAGGGATCACAATGCTTTCCACCCCTAAGTTTGCATCCTCAATCTCGAGCTATCATTCCAAATTGTTAACACTACACTATAGACAAGGAAAAGTCAGCTTATCTTACCTCCTTGATGCACTCCGGTCCATCAAAAGATGGCTTGCCCATTGCAGGGGTCACTGGGTACCACACCTGGAGGCCTGGTGTAATTAGCTTCTATAGAATAGAAAAAAACCCTTAAAACATTCTTTATATTTGAGTAGCAATCATGAATGTTATTTACCAAATCATCTTTCTCATATGGTTTAAGCACTGAATCAAATTTTGGAGTTGAAGAAATATTCAACCACGTATCAGTAGATGCCTTGTCAGCCAAAATTACAGGCATCCTGTCTACAATAACAGGTAAGTGAATATATAGATATAAGGCTGCTCAACTTCAGACAAATATTGACAAGTATAAATTATTTGAGCATTTTACACATTTAACCATCTTACTGGAGAAAATGAACATTTGCAGTATCATCCAACTCAAGTCCTAAATCCTAAACTTAATGATTAGCTTAATCATAAATGGAGGGAATAGTTAAAAGTTGCAATATGCTTCAGCTATAGTTCAATATCAGCAGAATGAGTACATAGTCCAGGGCCCCGTGTCTTTTTGTAGGTGTTTGCCCCAACAATCATCTGACCTGGAATATGTCTGTCCTGACTGATATAAACTACTATTTCTTGTCTAGCCTTCTCCGTTTGCTATGCAACTCATTCAGGCATCATCTGTACATTTCATCATCTATAAGATCCCCTAAATGAACATGAGATTTTCATTTCAACGTAATGTTTACCCAAACATTAAAAGACTAATATTTAGCTTGTATCCTAAAAAAAAGAAGAAAAAAGAAAAATGCTGACAATATAATTCTTGAGTACATCCCTAATCCAAATTTATTTGCTTCACGGAGTTTTATGCCCTCACTCCCATAGAACATGTTTTAATTGTCTTGGATACGATCTACTATTAAAGAACAATGCTTTTAACTCAAACACCTTTGTCATTCAGTTGGACCGAATGCTCAACTTCTGAAGTCATGCTTTCGGGCATAAAATTAGAAAATACTAATAAAACCTACTCACCAATTTATCCATTTCTTTTCCTAAAAAGGATACTTTGAGAAAATATCAAATAAATCCCAAGTGTCAGTTTTCAAATTATTCAGAGTTTCTTAGCAGACTTCCATGATATGAGAATACAATCTGAATGGGCACCTAACTGGTATAAAATAAAAAGGATCTAAATGAATGTCAACCACAGATCCATTCTGATGTACTATAAAGCGACAAAAGAAGACATGTGAATAAATGGAAATACACCCAACTCACCATGCAGCCACCGTAACCTCGATGATGAAGAAGTCGTAACTATTGTAAATGTGTCGAGTATCTCACCTGCATGAATGCAGATGCCAAATGATAGTCAAAAGTGAAAAAAACAAATAAAAAAATTTCAATGCAACTGATACTTCTAAGAGGGGTAAGTTTGGAAAAAAAGGCAATATTTGGTAGCTATGGCAAGTAATCTTACAAAACTGACCAAGCCTCAGACACTAAGGACTAAACATTTTCTCAAAAAGTTCACATTAAATTCCTCTTTCCAAGCAAAAAATATATCACAAAATAAATCAAATGACAATAAGCAGCTATTCTGGAATAAATTTAATTAACAGAACTCACAAACCAAAAATGGAGAAAATAACAGATTTAAAGAAGTTTTGCCAAGACATGCCACCTCAAAGGATACAATCATCTGAAAAGTGACTCACCTTCTGAGTTCTCCCAAGAATCATATAGAGCAGCAAACACCAGAGGTCTACCATCCTTAAAATGAATGTAGTATGGCTGTTTTTTCGATCCATGTTTTTTCCACTCATAGAATCTGGAGAATATGTTGAAGTCACCATAAGAATATAATATAGAAGGATAAATAGTTGCAAAGCCTCGAAAAAAGATATCTAAACAAGTACCACAAGACCCTGTAATGCAAAGCGTTTGCAATATGAAATTACATGAGGTCAAGCATCTTAGCAAAAAAAACCTCTGAAAATCTGTTTCTGAGCTAATAAATATGATAAAAGGTTGTAATGACAAATGAGAAAGGAAACAGGTTTTGGAATGAGTTAAAGAAAAGCAGTAAAATTCTTTTTCAATTTCTGAAATAGTAAAACAAAACAAGATCTAAGTTCATGCATTAATAATGACAGTGCGTACCCTTCTACAGCTATAAGGCACCGATTTTTGGGAAGCAATCGACGAAATGAAGCCTTCTCAGATATTGACTCAGATCGAGCATTGAACTGAAAATTACAGCCCATGTTAAATCACACTGCCAAACATAAAAGGTCTAATAGTATCTGAATTATGAGTCCCCAAGAGTTTACATCTTTGTTAAGGGTGCAGGCTTACAAAAGCCTTTCACAGAGGACGTGTAGGAAGACTTTGTTAAATCGCTAAATATTTTATTTTCCAATTATTTATGTATATCAGAGTAGTTAGTAGTTACTAAATTCATCAGCTCAAGTTCAGTTTCATGTTTAAACACTATCAGATCAGTTACCGTATGTCTAAATCTTTTTTTTTTTTAATTTAAAAAAAAAAAGATATACAAAATATTTTTCAAAAAGTTTCTGTTCACGAGCCTATAACATTAACTAGAATCTCAGAACAAGATCTTAAGTACTAATCATAACAATCAGTCTCCCAAATACAGATCTTACAAATATAGAAGAAAAAGTACCAAAAGGATTACAATTAGTTAGTATTGCAAATTCCATCAGTTAACACTGCATATAATTCCCTTTTGACCTTCAGTGATATATTCAAAAAAGTATACTTAATCATTATATTACGAACCTTGACCTTTATGTCAATATAATGTAAAGGGAGCATTGTTATTGTTATGACACAGTACTAGATGAATGTAAATTATTAGGAAAGTGAAAAATAAATATCATACTGTCTTTTTGTTGGTGTAATAAAGAATGGGACAGGTAAAGAAAGTCCTATTTTCTCTTATGTTTCTCAGAAGACATACACTATCTATGGACAGATCAAATATGGACAACATTTCTCAGATTCCAAAATCACACCGGGTCCTCAGCCCTGTCTTGAGATTGTTGATCCAATGACGGGATTTAGGTTTCCAAAAATACTAAAATCTCAGGACAGCATCTAAATCTAATGTAGGAAAGATTAAAATTACCATGCCTAGTTAGGAACTTGATAAAACTTTCGACATTACACCTAGTGTTTTTAGACATCATATTTAAGAAGTTTTAAGAATCATACTAACACCCTGTTTGGATCGTGATGAATGATAGAATTTTAATGTATGGTATTTTACGGGTATGAGAAAATTATGTTTGTTTCAACTTCCAATGGTAGCAAACGGTATTTAACCGGCAAATTTGGGATGAATTTTAAAACTACCGAATCGGTGGTATGTGACTGACAAGTTACTTTTTTTTTCCTTATACTTTCATATAATATACTTAATTCTATTTTTATTCTCACAAATTATTATTTATTTTATTAAATATAAAAATTTAATTTGATTATGTGTAATAATTATTTATTTAAATACAAATATAATTATATTGGTAAACAATTTATTTTTTTTTTCATTACATATTTTTTATATATCATTTACTATTACATATAATAGGTAGAGGTAAATTAGTAATTTAACTGAAAATACAACTATATCATTCTATTATCGAAATAAAAATATGTTATTAACATGCATTAATATACAATTATCTAAATATAAAAAAAATTTGTCATTCTCATCCTATGTCATTATCATGTAATCACTGTCATTACCATATATTAATTAAACATTACTAAAATTTATCTAAATAGGGTTTAAGGGTTTGATTTTATCATACATTCAGAAAATTGAGAAAACTATCAAAATATTTTATTGAATAACTAAAGTCTATGAAAAATATTTATAATGCTTCCTAAGTAACTTCTCCAAATAGAATTAAACGACGAAATCTAAGTTCAATATCAGTAATTGTAGTAGTATTAAAGTCCCAAGACGGCATCCAGTCCTGAGACAATGTTGGAATACCATGACTGAACTGGGTTATTGAAAATGCTACAGGTCCGAAACTACACTTTCTAAGTACTGAATCAGCAGCTAAGTCCTGGAATAGTAACTTAGTTTACTTTTTAAGTTGTATTATACCAAACACAACATTGTACCCAAAGTTTTTACTTAGTATATCCTATCACGTTTTACAAATTGAAACACCAAAGATATATTACTAGATATTACTACATTGATTTATCATATGATAAAACATTACAAACAAATGCACCAAAGTAACATTTTCAAGTTAGTTGTTTATTAAAAAGCCTGATAACAAATATATCACAAAACAACATGCGAAAGGGGAAACTACTAACGCCCAAAAATCTGGAATAACATGTTAATGCTTATCCTCTTCTAATTGGTAAAGGTTTGCAAATCTAACTCCTTAAACAATCAGACGACACCAATGAGGGATTTCCCCTACAGACTCATTGGACGAATACTAAACAGGAATATTCCTGCATAGAAGAAAGTTATTGAATAAGGTTATCAGCTGCTGCAGGTGTGTAAAGTGTAGAGCCATTTCCAGCATTGTTAGGAAACCAATACGGATGTAATTGATGTAAATAATCAGAAACAAGAAAACCTGAAACTTTTAAATACGAAACACACTTAAATTTTGCTAAATTTGAAGTAAACATTTACTATAGCAGTAACTGATAATAAACACATCATGTAGCTTCTAAGTAATACCATCTTGTAGAAATCAGGTTTCTCCGATTTCTTAGTGAAACTAGGAATTAATCCCCACTTCATGCAATGGACAACAACGCCTTCGCTCTCGGCTCCACCATCTCTACGCACAACTGACAAATTCCACCCCGGTGAAACATTATAAGATGGACGATACCTAAAAGTAGAAGATAATTAGACTCGAACTCCTGTTCATCGGGAATCGAAACTTCAATGTCCCACAATCTTGCTTTGTTAACATACAAACATGTCGAGAGAGAGAGAGCCAGAGAGAGAGAGAGAGAATAGGGAGACTACCGATCTGTGTTCAGAAAACGCACAGGGGCGTTATTGCGATGGCAAGCCCTGGGAATATCGTCTGCCCTGAGAGTACACTGAGCTCTCCCGCACATCTCCTTGTCTGCTACAACCGACTTCCTACTCTAAGATCTTATGGCGGGTAAATGAAAAGGCGGGAACGAAGGGCTTTCTTCTGGAGATAGAGCATCAAATTTTGAAGAAACTAAACAGCATCTAACAACCGTTGGATATGGGTTTCGTGGAGATGCGAGTCACCGACTCTCGCGTTCTCTGCAAGATTCCCATTGATAAAAATTATTTAAAAAATAAAAAATAAAGCCAACGCCTTTTTGGTGTTTTTTTAATGTAAAAACCATTATGTGACATTTTAATCTGACGTAATTATTTAATAAAAAATTAATTAATATATTATATTAATTTTATTTATAAATGTAATAAATTTATTAAGATTTAATATAGTTTAGTTATTATAATTTTAAATAACATTAATGATTTTTGGTAAGAGAGTAGATATTTATATTTTGAAATTGTTTATAACAACCTCCAAAATTTTAAAATAAATAAATTATAAATTATGTGCAGAAATAAAATAAATAGTTAGGTTTTACATTCTTAACACAATGACTTAAAGTACCAAGTAGAGATATGGAAATGATTTTTTTGAAATAAATACAAAAAATTAAAGAAATAAACGAAAAATAAATAAAACTGGCATCCTACTCACAACTCTCTTGTGAATCGAATTCTGGATTCTTATTCTCTTGATCTAAAATAATTAATAAATGAATGAGCTATACTAACCTAGTAAAAATATCACGCTACTCACTGACACATAAATGAATGTTGGTATAAATAATAAAAACAATTAATAGAGCTCTTAATTTAACAAAATCGTTTATCATAAATAAAATCATTTACTGTCTACTTATTGTAATGAGATTTATAAAATAACTTATAGATACAATAATATAACATATATTATGATTTCATATGTAATTGGTTGGAATAATAATTTTCTATTTTTATCAGTCTATTGGTATCCATGGGGATTCATAGAGATGTCCCTATAATGCGTAAACTATTTCCTTTAACATTTATAATTAACGGGTCGTCCCCATACCTCATCCAGTATAAGCGCTAAATTATTAAATTTCAATACACCGTCTGGTATGATGGTGAAATGGGTCGTCATCATATTCCGTACGGTATGAGCGCCAAATTACAAAGTATCGATACCCCGTCCGGTATGAGGCAACGTTCACGATAGGGTTCCTTATGTACCCGATCCGTCCACCATCTCGTAGGATATCCAATAAGACTGTCGTTTTATCCATTCGTTTAATCGCATAATTTTTTGTTTACCTTTAATCTCCAGTTTATCAATTCAACCGTAATCACATAAAACAAACAATACATGTATTCAAAACTATAAAATCGATCAATTAGATACTATCATGCATTCAAACTGTAAAATAAATTAACAGAATCAATAGTAAATAATTTTTTGTTTTTGTTCAATTAGTAATCCGTAATTAATTATTGATATTTTCTAAATTGCACAAAATACTGTATTATTGTTAATTTGACTTTAATGTCATAACAAAGAATAAGGTAAATGATTCTTATTTAAATTGATGTCCGAAAAGCTAAACTTGTTAACTGCACCTACTGGCGGTCTCCAAGTTCTCTGATTTTTTTTAGGGAGATTAAAACGCACTACAAGTATCTACAAATATCCTAAAGAACCCAAAATCAGTGTCATGACTTCTTTTTAGCCAATTATGGAATTTTGGCACAGCAGCTTCGTCGTGATCTATCTACGGCACTGCCGCCTGCGACGGTGATTTGCCTCAGGTTGATTATTTTCGGTCAGTTTTACATCAATCCATGCGAAAAAATACGTTAAGGGGTCTCGGTTGATCTAAAAAAAACGAAAAATCGAAACTCACCGGCGGCTCCGCCGACGCACCTTTGCGGTTCGATGTTTTGCTTTAGTCAACATGTGGAAAAAGAAACGGTGATTACAATGGTAGAAAAATTACGCATAACGGAAATCGAGAAGGACCTCATCGGAGGCGATTTTTGTAATTTTCTGCTGCAGCGCCGCCGAGCTTTACCCGTAATTTATGCCTAATCCGCTGGTCTTTTTGCTCTGATTTGGCCATGGAGATGTTTAAAATTGAATTCCAAGTAAATAAATTTTTTTTACCTCTTTTAGCGGTCGAAAGTGGCTCCGGCGCGGCGGGGGTGGCAGCGACTTCCTTTTCCGGTGGCTGGGTCTTCTTCTTCGGCGAGAGTATCTGGCAGCTAGGGTTAGGGTTTGGTGTGAAAAATGTTATTTATATCCGTCATTTTTTAATATGGACTGTCCATCGCATTTGATGTAAACCGTCCGATCGCGATTAAATAGAAAGTGAATCTAGAACGTTCATCGCGATATGATATGGATCGTCCAATCGCGTTAAATAGGAAGTGAATATGGACCGTTGATTGTATTTAAATCTGATTATCCGATCACGTTTGGAGAGGGGCGCATCCGTGCGTGCGGGAGCGAATCTGGACCGTCTGATCACGGGCGCGCGAATCACCAGCGTGGCGTCCCGCATGGTACTGCGTTAGTGTCCCTTGCCACGTGGCACGTTTCGGTTCGTCGTGACTGCTGATTGGGCGTCTTACGTTACACAACTTTTATAAATTACGTTTTAATTTTTCAGTTTCTGATTTTTCTTTTAAAAATATTATTAGAACCTAAAATTTCATCTATTTTTTAAAAATTATTTTTAATTTTTTTATCCACCTATTTTTTTATTTTTATATTAAATTAATTTTTAAATTTTAAAAAATTATATTTATAAATTAATTGGGTACTACTCGGCTTATAAATTTATCTTGTAAAATAAATATTTTCATTATGTTATAGTATAGTCGTCCTAAAATAATAGTTATATAAATAATTAAATATTTCTATAGCAAAAAGGTACTTTTATAATAATATTATAGGAAGTAATTATTTATAATAACTCATTTTTTATCTTTTAAAATTAATATAAATAAGTAAAAATTTATAATAACTCATACTAAGTTGAAGAAACCAAGAGACCATTATTTTACTCATCGTAATTTATAAGACTTTCCAAATTCTTTAATTTATAAGTGAATATAAATGATTTTAAATAAGTTATTGAAGCGTTTTATTTAATTTTATGAATTCGTTATTTTTATTTATAGTTGTCAAATAAATTTTTTATTTTAAATTAGTACATTTATGTTTAAATATTGTTTAATTTAAATTGATTTATTTTTATTTTATGAAAAATAAGTACAAATTGAAAATAAAATAAACATTTTCATTTTAATTATTATTTTATTTTATTTTTACAGTTAATTATGAGAGTTTTTTTTAAAAAAATTATTAGAGGTAATTTAAATTTTACTTTGGTCAATAATAACAAGTCCTTTCAAAATTACAATAATTTAACTTTTAAAAATATTGTTACAATAACTTATTAGGTGTTTACTAATTCCATAAAATTGAGTAGTACTGAAAAATTATAATCTCAACTGCCTTCATTAAAAGGGGGAAAATAAAATACCTATCAACGGCGCTCCCACTGTCTTCACTCGTTTTCATCTTCATAATCCATGCTCTCTGTCACGAAACGACTTCAGCGTTTACCACGATGGTTGGGTTCCACTGGCAACCAGCTTCGGTATGCCAGAACCGACTCCGGTCCGCTCAGGAGGCGATCCAAGTCCTCGGCTCTATCCTTGAAGAAGACGGACGAGAAATCGGAGTGGTGGGTAGTGGACGGGGAGATGCACGAGATTGGTGATAACGTGCCTCCACGTGAGCGATTCGTCATCCCTCGGGACAACATTCCCAATAGACGCCGTAAGCAGCTCCGCGAGCAGTTCATGCGCCGCACTCGCCTTGTCCTCAAGGAATCGGTTAGTTTGCGCTACTATGCCTCTCTTTCTTCCTTAGGTTTCCTTTTCCTGTTTGGTCAGCGAGAAAGTGTGAGAAACGGGAATTTAAGGGATATTTCCGTAATAGTTTGGGGATTTGTGGTTAGGTATTTCATTTCCTTGGTGACTATTTGGTTAGTACGATTCCTTCGGTTGTGAGTATAATTTTCTTGGTAATGTTAGAGTGTAGCATTTGTTTGCAAGAATAATACGAGATGCTCGGTGCTTCATTTTAATGGTAAAATTATAGTTGAATTGCATTTCCCGTGCATTAGATGGAAGCTGAGTATTCAGTCTTGAATTATTTTAGCAATTGTTTTGGAAACCCATTTTTCGTTGTCAGAACTCAACAGAGGCGGTTAAAACTTTTTAAAGTCCACAGTTTATCATCCAAAGCTTCATTTCATCGTCAAGATGATATGAGCTTCTCACTCAAGGGAATGTGTTCATTTGTAGAAGGCAGGGGCAGACATGGGTTTTGAAGTAAAAAGGGGGTAAAATTTTAAGTGTCTTTGCGCACTGGCCTTATAGAATGCAGCAATAGTTGAAAAGATATTCTGGTTGTTTCTCCTTATATGATGTTACTGTTCTAATTATAGGAGCATGAGCCTTGGTGCAAAAGGTATATGGAACTCTATAACGAGCTAAGGGAGAACTGGGAGAGGCTTTACTGGGATGAGGGTTACTCGAAAAAGCTTGCCCACGATCATGCAAACTATGAATCTGCAGAGGATGATGATGGAGATTTCAACCCATACAGGTTTGTCTGTGCTTTCTTCTTCTATGATGCTGGATCACTATTTCAGGAAAAAGAAGCACTTCCTGGTTCTAGGATGGATGTTGAAATTGTACAAAGTATTCCTTTACGGTACTTTGGGTAGAAAAAATGCATTTTGTTAAAGGTGTGTGTCTACACATTCATATAGACTGGGTTACAAGCTTTAATAAGTGTTTCTGGTTGGTTTATCTCAATTACACTTCCTTTGATTGCACAAATTCTTTACTTTTTGACTTAATTTGTTATATTCTTCCTGTTTTCTTGTGTGGTTTGACTATAATGACCGAGTAACAACTTCTTAATCATGCTACAGGAACAGGCGATTCTATACTGATCAAATGAAGGTAAAAATTTGATTATAGCATACAATATCAGTTGATGACTTATGTCAGAAACTATAAAGCAGGACAAAATTCTGCTGAGAATAATTGAATCTGTTGATCTCTTTTTTACATTATGTTAGGGTGTTAATTACTGTTTTGCTTGAATCTGATTTCAGGACCAGCATTTTGGGCATCAGAGGCAAGGTGAAACCTGGGAGAAGATCAGTCAAATCCGAGATAAGTTTGAGTACGACAGAGAGAAAAGAATGAGGGACAGAGGTATGTCTTGACTTTTTTTCTTGAAAATACTTGGCAATTGGATCTAGAACATGATGGTAAGGCACTAAGGCTTATTTTTTCTGGTCTCTAGGGCAATGTTTTGGAACAAATCAAGAATTTTTGTGGAACTCATTTTTTGAAATCTGCACCTAGTTTAATTAAGAGAGGGTAAAATTTTTATCTAAGATAACAAAATGGAGCTCAAATAGAATTTAAGTGGAAGTGGAATAATGCTTTGCTAGTTCCATCACGATTCTTGTAGAATTTTCGTTTCCCCAGTTAAATTAAGTGCAAATCTTAAGATGAACTCCACAAAAAATTCAGATATGTCCAAATGTAGCCTAAAAGAAATTGTCTTTTCTGAGTTTCTTTTCTTGGAGCTGAGCCGAGATTGAATTCTTCATTTATTTAGCCTTCCCAAACACATGCTGTAGACCAAATTTGCCTTTCTTCTCTCACAAAGAAAAAGAAGAAAAAAAACCAGATACCAAGTTTAGAAAATTGTATTCTTGGCTGTGCTTTGCTACCATTTTATATCATTCTTGATTTAAGTTTTAGGTCTGGCTCAAATATATGAGATTATGACTGATCACCAAATTATATATATCTTTCTGTTATGTTTGCATGGCAATATAGACAGTGAATTCTTTTGCAGTGGTATTTGACATCCTCAAGCTACTGTTTCATAATCCTTATTGCTAAATTCTTTTGCAGTAGTATTTGACAGCCTGAAGCTACTCTCTTTGTCCTTATCACTGAATACATATATAGCTCATCTAATTTTTAATATGAAAGCAAATCAACATGCATCCTTTTTGTTACGAAAGAAGGCTTTGTCTGATCATTTTCATTCTAAAACAGGATATGTTCTCAAAAACTAGAAAATTAGCATAGATGTTTTTTTTTTTTACTAATTTCTCTTTGCACTTTGATTTCTGAGTTGACTAAATTGTAAACTCATCTGATGTGATTCATTTGCCCTGTTATCTTAAGGGAGCAAATTGAACCACTATGAGAAGTTCTTCAAGTTTTCTTCTACATATGAATGTTTTTATATTTTGTCCTCATTTTTTATGTCATCTCTATTTTGCAGCATTTGCACCAATGAATTTTGGACCTTCTTCAGACTCAAATGATTCAAACGCCCAGAATAAGCTTTTTGATGCTCAAAGATACTTCAGGGACTAAAAAGGTACTCTGCAAGATATTTTTACTGATTCTGTTTTCTTAACGTTTCCTTTGAAAGAAGAAGGCAAATAATCTATTAATGGTTTATCCTAGCAGGTATCTGCAGGAGGAGGAGCATTGATGGGTTGTATGGATTATGTGAGAATCAGGGTTTTCCTTTGAGCGATCACTTCCTAGAGACTCAAGAAAGCAGACAACAGGGGTAAACAAGACGAAGATCGCAGTAGCTGATATATTTCAAACTTAATTGTTTCCTGTAGAAGATTATATCTTTTTTGTTACTGGGCTTCACATGAGACATGATGTGCAAAGTTGCACTTTCAGGCAATTGCTATGGAGCAAAATTATGCCCGGTTGTCAGAAATGCTTGTAAGTTCAGGTGCCTTGAAAGTGTTGCAGCGATGCTTCTGTGTGTGACATTGTCTATGCAAGTAAGGATGCATAGTTTTTGACAGAGATGTAAGAATTAGTTTTTTACTATATAACCGTAAAATGCATTTTTTCCTTGGTACAGTGTAATTTATACAGGATTAGTGGTAATGTAACTTTGGCAAATGGGGAACACTATCTCACGACCAAACTCAAAACCCGAGCAATTGATATAAATGGAACTGGAGTTTATAATATTATTTTTCAGTATTATTTTTTTAATATTTAAATATTTGTATTTAAAGAAAAAAATATATTATTTTAATTACACAAAATAATAGGATAATTCTATTATATTTTTGCCAATTATAAAATACTAATGTTTCATTATAAAAAAAAATTTAGGACACTCTAATTACAAAAATAAATTGAAACATCACACAAATTTAAATATTTCATTTAAAAATTTTTGTTCTGTAAAATGCTTATAAATAATAATAATAATAATATACTAAATAAATATTAGTAGTCAAATTTTGAGCCGGAGCTTGCCCATTTTTTTAGGGTATTCCAACTTGCTATCTACTATTTTCCCGCATAAGTAAGTTGTACCTTAAATCTCTTTTTTGAAAAAAAAAAAAAAATTGGTTGGCGGGGTAAATTCGTCGATAAAGTACAACCAGAAGACTTTTGATTTTTCCACCCACCATCAAATCACAGACTCCTCCATTAAACTTTCAATTGAGGCCGGCGCCAAAATATCCATCTCTCCGTTTCCAGTCTCAACAGTGAAGTCACGTATTTCTTTGTTCAGTTGATGAAATGGAAAGGAAGATCTAAGAGGGAAAAGATTGAACAGAAAAATGAGCGGGGCGAGACTGTGTTCATTGCTTGGGGAATTGGGCTACGAGGGTGCAGACAAATTGGACCCAGACAGCTTCGAGTGGCCGTTCCAGTACGACGATGCACGGCCCATCCTTGACTGGATCTGCTCTTCTCTCCGCCCTTCCAACGTCCTTTCCCTCTCCGAGCTCTCTCAGTGAGTTCTTCTTTCCTCTCTCTCTGATTGGTGCTTGGTTTCTCACCCTCTTTGTTGTTGGTTTCCTGGAAAATGTGCCATGGAAGGCAAGTTCAGAATTAAGTATCTAGATAATGTGTTCATATTTTATTTTCTCCTCGGAAGGCAGAAAATATGAACTTCATTTGGATAAATCTCTTAGATGGCAGCATTAATTTCTTTTTCTTCCTATCACACTTTGGGCACAAAATTCGACTGAATTAGTTGTTAGAGACAGTTGGCGCAGGCCGAGATCACAATTAAAAGCTCGTTATTATGAGCATTCTCTCACTCTTTCTTGAATGTTAATCTCCCACTAGTATAATATTAGCAATGAAATGCTTGATTTTTTCCCCTTTGAAGTAAACTGCTAATTCCTGGTTGATAATTATCTAATATGTGGTATCCAGGTATGAGCAATTCCTACAAGAAGGAAAGCTATTGGAGGTACATTCATTTATACGTCTTCTGTTGGATACTCTTATTCGATATATATTTGGTCCTTGTCTGGACAAATTTCACAAGATTGTGCATTCTTTCTTTTCATCTTTATTCACTGGAATCCTGTTAGGCTAACTATGAAACACTGGCCTATTTGATGGGAAAAACAGGGAGAGGATTTGGACTTTGCTTATGATAGCATTTCAGCCTTTTCTTCCAGGAGAGACAACCAGGAGGCAGTTTTTGGAGCTGGAGAAGGATTGAAAGAAATAAGGTAACATCCTTTATCTCATGTATTCAATTGTTTGGTGTTTGGTCTTTTGTGTTTCTTGAAGATCCTTCTGTGTAGCATTTTTTTTAGCATTCTTCTGCTAGCAGTTGAGCATTAACACTTAACAATATCCTAGCTTGTAGCTTTAAGTTTTAATTTTTTTTCAATAAAAAGAGGAACATTATTGGATAGTTCTGTTGTGCGTGGCTTATGGTGTACTGCTTGAATCATCAAAGATCGCAACTTCTCTCCTTCCTTTTTCGGGACAGTGATTTTTGGCTTCTATTTGGGCAAAGGGTCATGGATATGGTGTCCTTTTGACTTTCTTACAAAGGGATAGATGCAATTTTATATGATTTTTTTGCTTTCTTTGTTTTTTCTTCCTCTTCTTTCGCTTGGAGGCCTGGAAAGATATCTTATCCTTTACATCTGTACATTTTCTGTTTTCTCTCTACCACTAATACTTTTTTTTTAATCTAAAAAACGAAGAAAAAATTTAGATTTAGTGCTACGACCACCACAGCCAACAACACTAAAAGGTTTGGAAAAGTTAAAAGCTGCAGGGGGACCCATCATAGCCCTGAAGTTCAGCCAGATCTGATCTCCTTGTTTGAATCGACTGAGAACTAAATTGATTGGAGCAGGAGTCTGCACTTAGGAGCAGTATTTGACTTACAATTCTACATTAAAGATGTCTTCCAAATTTTATCAAGTTAGGAGTTGGACTAGGATGGGCTTATGGCGGATCTAATTCTGAATAGCTTCCCTGTATAAGTTTTTTTGGGATAAAAATAAAGAATAGTGTTAAGAAAAGGCATCAAGGAGGTGTCATCCCTGTACAAGATATTTACAGATCAATATCTTGTACCAGTTATTACGATCAATAAAGCTCATAAGCTATTTAATTAAAATTTTAGAGTTCATCATAAAATGATCTTGGGTTCCCTTGATGAGCCTCACATTAGGCCGACAAGGCCAGAACTCTCAGTAAAGCTCGCCACTTGCTCAGAATCTCATTGTCTCTGGCCTCCAAAATAGATCACAGACTTGGGACCATAATGTTGGGCTTGATTTATTTTTTCCCCTAAGATTTCATTATGTTAGTATCATTATGATTTGGTAAGTTGAGTAACTCTAAATGTCTCCACTATCCTTTTGATTACTAAATAATGTGTTCCAGCATGTTCCTTTCGGTACTAATGGATTTCTTTTCATCCCTAGGGAAGCAACTGTTGCATATAAAGCCGAGGCGTTGGGAGTTACAGAGGCAGCTTAGCATCTTCAGACCCAATTTGATTTGTTGAGTGGCCAGGCTTCAGCTTTGA